TATATGCAAGTAACCCTAATTTTTTTTGTCATGCATCCTGTAGACATGATGGATGACTGAAATTGACATTTTATTATTTCCATTCACTTGCCACTGCAAGACCATGTTAAAAAAATCTTTTATTTCGTAAGGGAACTATATCTTATAAAGGGAAAAGGTGAGAGAGTGACATGAATTTCAAATTTTGTTTTATTATTTTGTGATAGATAATTAACATCTGAATAAAACTTCAGTAGTTGTCGTAAGTTAAACATGTAACCGGGGACTTAAACTGAAAACAGGAAAGATATTTTAAATATTATGTGGCCAAGTGTTGATCTCATTTAACAGTATTGATTTATGAACCACAACCAATCACGGAGACTGACAGTGGACATGTGAACATACTATGACAATACTGATGTGGCAGAGGAGATGTTCGGGATTGCTTATTTATCCCTTATTTAGAGGAATAGCAGGTCTCCAGTACTTCTGAAGGCTATGAAAGAACATAAGAGTTGGGAAGTGGCAAGGTTTAATTACTTTACAATCATTATGTCAGATTTGCGTAATAGCTTTAGATATGTGAGTTGACTAGTAATAGCATACGGACCCAGAATGTTGAAGGATCCCAATACAAGCAAGTCTCAATAAAATTAGGCCCATCCATAGAAGTTGGAAACACGGTGTACTACAGCAAACTATGACCGAGGTTTAATCGTCCCAGATTTGTGTGGAACATGATCCGATTCACCAACTCTAGCAACCCGATTTACAATTCAATCTCATTGAAATTTGGAAAAAAATGTAACTCTTTTTAAAAGAATAAACAACAAAGTACGTGAGAAATTAAGCAAATAAAATATGCATATCTTAATTGCAACATGATTCTTAAGGTTTTTTCACTATTACTGATATCAACTAGCATTTATGAACTGAACTTTGTGTACCACGTTCCTTGATGCATCATATAAGCCTACCCCCCTTGTACCCAATTCATAGCGAGTGGCATTCCACGTTCCCATGCTCGTCCTGTGAACCGGAATGAACCGGGTTCCATGCAACTGTGGGCCCATCTTCCCATCGGCTGAATGGAAAGTTATGGTCACTGAAAGTTAGCAATGAACTTGACGTTGTAATATTATGACGTGCCTCACTTGAAGCCAGCAATATACTATCAGTGGATTAACTATGCCTTGTACTCAGCTGAAATTGGTGATCTGCTTCAGTTTGCACCCTCCCTCGTTTAGAAAACTTGATGGTTACATTTTTGCACGACTATTGTGCAATCGAATTCCAGTTGATTATATTCTGGCATATTCTCTCTTGAACCCAGCAATCTACAATTGGTGATTAACAATGACGTGCTTAACTAAATTAGCAATTCACTCCAGTAGCATCCTCTGGGATCAGGAAAATTGAAGAATACATTTTTGCATGACTATTTAGAAAGATCAATTAATAGCATTGGATGAGATAAGATATAACCCCTTTAAAGTTATGTTAACAATTAATATTAAGTAAGTTCCCGCATGGTGATTTATAGTAAACCTAAGTTGGAACGTGACCAGAAAGGGTGCTCCCTCCCTCCCTCCCTCAAAGCATCCTTTTGTTTTTCTGTTCTAGTCTCAAACTTTCAAGAAACCCGTCAATTCATTTTATTTTATTAAATGAAAGGAAAAAAGATTGGGTTTCCTGCATAATATATATGGAAGTATTGCTTTTGTACATAACCCAAAATAAATATTACATCAAGTGTAATGATGGTGGTTTTATGTTGATTCTGTGCAGATATGCCATGACTGGTCAGCTAACCCAGAAAAGTGATGTATATAGCTTTGGAGTCGTGCTTTTGGAGCTTCTAACAGGCAGAAAACCAGTTGATCATACCATGCCTAGAGGCCAGCAGAGTCTGGTTACTTGGGTGAGTTTACGGCATCATGGACTGTTGGTTAATATACATTGGTATCCCAGTTTTAAAAACTGCTTTAATATAAATGCTTCACCTTTTTTTCTTGAATTTATTTTAAATCTTACTTTTAGTCTACTAGTATAGTGTGTGTGATTTGCACATAGCAATTCTTGTTTTGTGTTATGATTTTTTTAGAGAGGAAAATTACAAAAAATGAACACATACAAAAATGAATACATACATTTCATTTAATATTAAAAATACATATAGTAGTACATGACATTTTATATAACAAACATGTGCCTCTCCGAATATCAAATTATGATGTTGTGAATGCGTATACTTCGCAATACGAAGCTATGATCTTCTATACCAAATTTAAAATTCCCCTTTTTACCTGTATGGTTTTAAAGTGCATTATAATATGATATATATGGGTGTACTATAATATGATATATATGGTTTTAAAAGTGTACTGTAATACGATATACCGTGCACAAAAAATTGCTATAGTTTATTTTTTCCTCTTAAAAATCATGCTACAGTAGTGTTATACTTGCGCAATGCTGCACACTTTTCTTAAGCCAGGGTACTTGAATTTTGCTTCAAACTTATTACACACGTCATATACATAATGAGGACAAATTGTAAAAAGACAAATTGCATGTAACAAATTAATTGAAGTTGAAATTGAAAATGCAAAAACCTAAGCTAAGAATAAAGGTGTTACTTGTTAGCCTGCGTTATATTCATTTCAATTTTAAAAGTTGGATAAACTCCTCATTACATACCCTTCATGCTAAAAAAGCCAAATGTGGTAAAGATGCCAAAAAAATTAGAAATTATGGAAACAGAATTTTATAAAACATAATTATTGAAACATACTTGACAAACCTGTAATAATCTCTCACGGAATTATTGGTCTTGCACCTGTTTATTACTATTTTTTCCAACAAACCTAAGGAAATTTGCTTTCTTGAGGCAAAAAGAAATAATAGTATTCCAAGTTTGAAGAGACAATATGTTAGATAAAGTGTTCATTATGTTAAAAATAGAAGGTAAATTTATTAGTTTGGATTAAGCACCGATTTTCACTTGGTTCGCATATGCAGAAGGAATTAAGATGGGTTTAAGCATCAAGCATGACATGACAAATGAATAGTCCATACGGTACATGAAGAGCCCTTTCACAAAGCCCCCCTTAGGTTTCGGCATTTCTGAGATAACCCCCTTGACTCTTAAAACTCCTCAGCCCTTCAACTTTGAACAATTTTGAAAAAGTCCATGCTAAGCACAATTTTCACTCGCATTCCCCCCACACACACACACACACACACAAAAAAAAAAAATCTAAAGCCATGACTATAGTATGCTGAAGATCACACTTATAAGTCTAGTTAAATCATGAATAAATCTTGCATACGATTTTTTTGATAGTGTTGATCACACATCCTCCTACATTATTTGAAGGGGAGATTTGGCTATATAATGCACAATACTTATGAAATAACCTAAAAGGGTAATTTTATATATAAATCAATGCACAAATGTTTTTCTGTACAGGGATCTTAAGTTTCCTAAACAATCACAAGAAACAAATGAAAGTATGAAAAAAAATTATTTCTGTAGACAGTTCGTCAATAGATGATCTCAGCCAAAACCTTTTCCAGCTTTCCAGTTTCATATGCTCCCACATGATCTTGTATGCTTCACAGTATAGCAGCATCATGATAGTGCTTAGGTATACTTCGTCTTCATTTGCCAAGTGCTTGGGAATCTCGGTACTACATTCATAAACTTCAGAACCATCCAAGTTTATCTTTGCATAAATATTCGTCTCATTGCCTTCCTAACCTTCCCAATCCTCGAATCTAATTATACTTGTCTATGATCCCATTCCAAGCACGACTGTAAGTAAAATTTGTAAAAACTTATTAAATTCATATGTATATGGATTATCTTTTTAAAACCAAAAAAAATCCTACACCAAAAACAACTAAATGAACTTATCAAAGCTATAATGCAATAAGAATTAAGACTAATTTAATATTTACAGTCTATAATAAGACAATATTTAAACACATAATATAATTTTGACAAACCACAAATCTGCGATTATATGGAGTTTACTTTTTTGATATATGAAGAAAGCTTCCTAACTGAAAATCTAGATTAAGAGAAATGGGAATTAAAATGACAGATACTTGTATTTTAGGGGTAAATTTATAAATAAAATCAATCGAGTTGTGTTTGTATTGTATATTTGCTAGCATGCTACCATACAAAAGCCAAGTAACTCTTAAAGATGTATAATCTGATTGGATAAAGCCTGGCAAAGGAGAAATAAACAAACAGCTCACAAATGAAAAGGACTTGAATCAAACAGTCTGGAAACACTTCTGATAAGTAAGAGTAAAGAAGCAGAAAATTAGTATATGGTGTAAAAATTCAGCCATAACCCTTACCATAGAACCACTATGTTTTATTGATCTATGAATTATAGTTAGGCCAAACAATTATTCTTCAATAATTAATATCCCAAACTATTATGGTTTTGCGAGTGATTACATCATATAAATTTAACAAAAATGGAATATAATGTTCATATAAATCCAATTCTGTTTCATTAAGACCTTCCGCTGCATCTCGTTAACAAATGCAATTCAGCAAATTTCATCACTTTAATTAAGTTCCAGAGATATTAAAATAACATAAACTCCAAGAACTAGAACTTGCACAAAATTGCCATATCCCTTCAATTCCAATCATAAGGGAAAAGTTTAGAAATCTAGATTTTGGTAAAGATGAAAATCAAATTAAGAAGAATATTGATTTCAAAGTAGCAATATTGAGTTGTAAAAATACCTAAGATGCCTAAACTTATTAAGATCATACACACAAACATAAAGAGCAAACAATACAGATTTTCGACTCTGGCTCAACCTTGAACTCGATATTTCTTTTAAAACAACAGATCTTCGATAGTTATTGGCAAAAAAAAAGGAAAAATAAAAAGAAAAAAGAAATTTTGACAAACTAAGAAATAAAGCAAGAAATCTTTGGAAGAGATGGAGAGATCTTTGAATTGCACTACATTTCTAAACTTGACAAAATCAAACTATTTGATGTGAACAACAATACGGATTTCGACTCTAATTTTGAAATTTTGATTAGGTTGTTTTATAGAGGGGAAAGGGCTAAATTTTGTTAAATTTACATAATAGAATTAATCATAGGTACATGGATTAAGATGAATTTGAGATGTCTAAATTGTTGAGGACTCTTAGATAGGTGGAAAATTCTCTTCTTTTAGGAACTGTCAATTCATAAGTTTAGGAGAAGTTAAGAACGTGTCAAGTGGAAGAAGTTATGGGGTATGTGGATAAGGGAAGTAGTTAATGGGATTCAGGTTTTATAAAAATAAATTGCGAAAAAATTGTAGAGCTGGAATTGAAAATGGTGATGGGTACATATAGGATTTACTGTGCATAGATAAAATTTCCATCCTTCTGCTTTTATTAATAAAGTAGGTGATATATAAAACCAACAGAATCTAAAATCAATTAGAGATCAAACAAATTTATAAATAAATATTTACTAGGGGCATCAACGAAATATATATTTATGCGGCGTCAAAAAATTGAAACTAAAATTAGAGATCGAACTACCTTATGTATTTACGAGCGGCGTCAACAGTGATTGCATTGAGGTCAAACAACCTTAGAAATAGATAGTTATTAGCTCCATCAAGGGTGAGCATGGCTTTCACTTCGTTTTGAGAAGACTTTGACCGAAGAGATTTGGAGAATTGGTAGGATGTTGGTTGTAGTTTATAGTGATATGTTGGGAGATCAAGAGATGTACGTTTCTTATGGTTATAGTGTAAATGTAAATAAATTTTCATTTATTAGTGAGTGAAGAGTGGGAGTTAGAGGGAGATTGTGCAGCTAAGTTCATTTATCAGTGAGTGAAGAGTGGGAGTTATAGGGAGAACGTGCATCTAGGCAAGTAACGATAGTTGAAGTGTTTTTATAATTTTTTTATTTTTATTTTTTTGAACTTTGAAGTGTGTTATTATAATTGGTATAATCATTATATTGCATTTGATCTAATTAAGGTTATGAGGAGGATTTGTATATCTGACTATAGTAAATAAACTTTAGTTTTAAAAAATGTCATACACCTTTAATTTAATTAATTTGATGAGATTTTATATGTTAATTGATAGTGGGTCTATTCCTCATTACTTAGATAGTTGGGCTTAAATGTTAAGTATTCATTTGATAGTGGATATGATAGATGCAATTGCAACATATTTTACTTGATGTTAAAGAGATTTATGATTAATGAATAGAGGTTATTACAATTCACTTAAATAATTTGTATCATGCATGTATGTGTCTATGTATGGTTTCATGTATATATGTGTCATAAGAATAAATTACGTGGATACCCATAACAATACATAGTTTAATCAGGCATTTTTTGTATTTTGAATGATAGTTGGGAGGGCATTTTTAGACGAAAAGTTTTAACACCCTTCACACTTTTAGAATATTATTAGATTGACTATGCTGTGGAGAGGAATAACCAATTCTTTTCTCTATAGTTATTCTAGAACTTAGAAGACTATCTTGATTTTCTTTCACTCTTTAAAAATAGTTTTGTATTTAGATACAACAACAACAAAGCCTTCATCACAAATTTTTGGCTCGGTTAGGTTCCTATGTTTAGATATTTTCACTTTTATCTTTTGGAAGTTATGCTTAATAGGTCCTTGTTTATTGTTTTTGTACTACGTAGGCATCCAATGTTTTAATTATTGGATGATAGGGAAATATCAGACCACCAAAATCCATATCGGATCGCAGGTATCGGTAAATATCGGGGATATGTAGTAAATACTGGAGTGTCGTATCAGATGATGTATATATATAGTATAACATCATAAAATGTAATCTAAATATACCTAATGAAATCTAAGCATTCAAAAATGTAAATAATATATCATAAAATCTAAGCATTCAAAAATGTAAATAATATACCCTTAGGACCACTAACCAATTGTAGAAATTACTTAGGCAAAAGAGACTATTAAGAATATTGGTAAAAACTTCAGAGCTAGAATTCTTGCTAAAAAACATTACAGAAATTTTGCAAAACTATATATTTGGCAACAAACTTTGTAAAAGGATGTATCAACCAACATATGAGTGATATATCGACCATGTCGGGGATGTGTTGCACATAGATGCAGGAACGCGGAATGCTGTAACGAACCACAACCCGACTTCAATCATTTTAGACTTGCGGTGGAACGCTACAATTCATCAACTCCAGCAAACTGATTTAGAATTTAAACCAGTTAAAATTTAAAAATAAAACTTTTTCAAAGTAATGAACAACAGAAAGTAGAAAATTAAGCAAATAAAGTATGCGTACCTTAGTTCAACATGACATTCAAGTTTCTTTTACCATTACTGATATCAACTAGCATATTTCTTAAAATTAACTCTTGCGGAACCTCTGATTCCTACATTTAAGAACGGGCCTAAAAGGTTTCACGTCAAATGTCGTACCGTATAAGCCTACCCCATCGTATCCGATTCCTAATGAATGGTGTACCACGATCCTGTACCTTTTTCATTAACCGGGATGAACTGGATTCTATGCAATTATGATGTTGCCCAAAATTTCCCACAAAAGAGAGAAACAATATTGAGATCTTAAGGTTTTGTTTCAAGCCTTTTAAGAGAATAAATTGGCCTATATATCATCGGGGCATTTAAAACATTGTAGGCGTTCCCTTTTATTAACATATGTTTAGCCATGAACCTGATATATTGGCCCATTTTGCAATCAGCTTGTACTTCGCAACTTCCTAGTGAAGTAGATAGTGAACCTTAAGTCACCAGTTGCCATGTTTCTTTTGGCTCCAGCCTATGTGGCATACCAACACTTTGATCGTGAAGTTATGCTGTGTGGGAGTGTGCCCAATGTGTGTTAAACATGTGTATTCTGTACTTTAAAATAAAAAAAGGCAATCAGCATGAAGTCGTGTAGTTGACATAGGTTCCACCTATAAATGACGTAATGGGAAAAAAAAGACTTGTTAGAAACAAGAACTTCTAAAGCCAGAGTTGATGAGCATTACCTACACAGTGGGTAGAGTATCTGTCTTGTTTATATCTTAGCTTCCTAGCGTGTGGTATTATTAGTTTGTCTTACCTTCTCTGTGTGTATTGTAGCTTCTGTATCAAATTGTCATTAGACCAGTAAAAATGGAAGATATTAAGGATAAATGTTTTACTTTTTCCTATTTTCTGTAGGCTACTCCAAGGTTGAGCGAGGATAAAGTTAAACAATGTGTAGATCCGAGATTGAAAGGAGAATATCCACCAAAAGGAGTTGCTAAGGTCTTTCTTCCTGCTATTTACTCTCTTTATACTCGTATTCTTTTTCTCTGTGTGCTGACACAGGCTGCTCTCACAGCTTGCAGCAGTAGCAGCTCTTTGTGTACAGTATGAATCGGAGTTTAGGCCCAATATGAGTATTGTAGTCAAGGCACTTTCTCCACTGCTTGCAAATAAACAAGCGACTCAACCACCTCCTGTTGCAGTTCCTAATGCTTGAGATACCTTAAGGTCGTGTATTCATGTTGGTATTTGTTCTTGCTTCTGATTCCTGATCGGTATGGGAAATGTAATCATTGACTATGGTTTGGGGTTTGTATATTTCTTGATTATTTCTTCTGGTGGTACGCTTTTGGCTCTCAGATGTGGTAGTGTGTGATGAGTGTCTCGGAAATTATAATTCTTTTTGTGACCAGCACCTTCATACCGAATTCTTCGTCTTTTGTGCTTTGACGCGTGCTCTGTCAATTCTCGGTCCTTTAGGGTTGTGCGCTTTCTTTTAAGTTTCGCCATACATGAACTTTGAAGTTGATGGTAAGGCTCCAGTACATTAATGTTGCCTCAGTCCTCAGCCCAAATTTGTACCTTGATGTCGTCTTTTCGTGTTACCATTTTTGGTCTTCTTATCATATGGTTAACTGTAGAATTGTAAACTTGTAATCTTTTAGGCTCTGTTTGGATGGAGGTGAATGAGGGACGGGGGAAGGTAAGGCAAGAATTAATCTTGCTTAAGAGTGTTTAATGCGGGGGTTAAGGGATGAGAGTAGATGATAATTAATGTTGCGAGTTCGCATCAAATAGGGGTTTTTCTTTCCCCCTCGATTTGTGGGGTAGCTAAGGGAAAGGAAATTGGCTTTCCAAATAATGTGAAAATAACTTACCTTTCCTCCCCTAGTAAACTCTAAAATGAGTTATTATATTCTCCTTCAACTTTCCATACTACTCGTTATCCTCTCCCCCCTTAAGTAACACTTACCTTCCTTTTCCCTAGTATACTCCCAAACACGGTGTTAGTTAAGGCTTTCATCCTTTACGTTTGAATAAGGTGGATGTACTCAACAAGAATAACAGTAAATTCAGTGTCAGGCCTGCTTGAGGAGCACAACTTAATTCCTACATTCACCAGAGACCGTGAGAGGTTGTTCTGAGCCTTCTGAAAGCGTGCAGCACAGAGAGAGGGCAACGCAGTTCAAGGAGTCACCCTTCATCTTTAAATTTAAGCCTGTTTAAAATGGAATTTAGAGGTTTCAAACGTAAAGTTTGTATCCGTGAGAACCAATCTAATCACATTCTCCGCGAGACACTAGAACAATATGACCTCACATATTGGTGCACCCTTGACATATATCATAGTTTTATTAAATGGTTCTTTTACTAGGTGCCCTTAGGCACTCATTAGGAGACGAGAGAGATAGAGAAGAGAATCAAGGAGAGAAATTAGTGTAAATCAGGATGGGCTTACTTGCTATTTTTCTCTCTTCATCTGTCTCATATATCTACTCTTCTATACTTATAGGAGGATCCAAAGAATTACTGTAAATGATACAGTAAATTACTGCATCATAAACAGATCCCACTTAATTTACTGTAGCATAAAACAGTAAATCAGATCTGAGCCTCCATGCTTGAAGCTCCTATTCATTCTATAGTATTTTACTGTATTATAAACAGTAAAGCAAATTAAATGTATTAAAATGTGGATTCTTCTTCAAGTATAGAGGAGTAAATAAAATTTTAAATCAAATATATTAAATTTTAGATCATTATTTAAGTATATAAGAGTAGATATGATTTCTAATTTTAAACGTATAATAATTAAATCAAATGTGTTAAAACTTAGAGGAAGACAATTTTAAAATGCGGTGCCTAAAAAAACAAGGGCCCGTGCTATGCACGGGGTGCACACTAGTTTTGTAAAATGGGAGATGAGCTTATGAAAAATACAATGACCAGAGTTGATGTTTAATAGTTTCTATACTATGTCCATTCACTAT